AATACCGTTTCCCGCACCCCTACCCCGTGAGTCTTTCATGGATGCCATACACGTCCTGTCAATCACACAGCTGCTGGGCGTGACGGCCGAGGATTCCCGGCAGCCGGCCGGCCGCGGTCACCGCTGCAGCCACGGCGTTTGCGGGAAATCACAAGACAGGTCTCGGGTCAATAACCTAACTTGACAACTCACGGAGCTAGACAAAGAACAACAAATTTAGCCCAAACCGACCAGAAGGAAGGAAAGCACAAAGATTAGACGAGATACCAACAGAACAAGGGGCCGGGGGGGGGGGGCGGAGAAAATGAAACCAACAGCTTTTTTTCCCCTAAGGTGAAAAAAACTGGAAAACTTTTACCTAGATGGACTAAGAAAAGAAAAAAAAAAAAAAAAAGACGACGCCAAGAACTAAAATCAGAAATGGAAAAAAGCACGTTGCTATAGATTCGTCTGAAATAAAAAGGATGGAAGAGAGAACTATGAAAAACAACCCGGCAACAAACTGGATAATCAGGATGAAACGCACAAATCCCTAGACACGCAGCGCCTACCGGGACGAAGTCACAAGGGAAAGAGACAATCTGAATCCAGTTGCACCCAGTAGTGAGATTAGAGCCATCCTCCAAAATAGCCCAACAAATACAAGTCCAGGATCTGACGGCTTCCCTGCCTGGGGATCGAGGCAGCTGGCACGGCGCAGGGCGCGCGCCCCTGGGGCGGCGCCGGCAGCTCTGCGGGGTCCCGCTGCGGGCGGGCGGGGAGGGTCCACCCGCGCGACCGTGCAGAACGAGCCGCAGGAGCGGAGGAAACTCTCAGGGGCCCCAGGGTCCAAACCGCCGCGGGAAAGCCTCGGTCGCTCACACCTCAGGTGGGTTTGCGGGGCCGTAGGAACGGGCGCCACCTCCAGCGCCGCGCGGTAGGAAGTGCCGGGCCCCGGGCGCGGAGCTCACGGGCGGGGCGCACACCCGGTCCCTCCTCACCTCGCTAGTGCGCGGGGGGCCGGGCGGCCTGTCGCTCCGTCTTCCGGGCCGCGTACCTGCCGCCTCGGCGGCCAGTCGTGAGGGTGGAGACCCTGCGGCCAGCGCGGCGTCTCCACGAAGGGCGGCCCTTTCTGCACGTTCGCTCGGGGGTCCCCAGTTCAGTGCGGACACGGCCCCCGCAGACTTAGGCCGCGCGACGTCCAGGCCCCGCGCCGGCCCACGCGCGCCCGCGCCCGGGAGGACCAGTGCGCCCCACGACGCCCCGCGGAGCAGCGACGCGCGCGGGCGCGCAGAGCGCAACGCAGTCCGGGGGCCTGCGCCGCCGCAGACCCCGCGGGAGGCCCCGCCCACCCCGAGGGCAGGGCCTGGGCGGACCCTCCCGGGCCCCCCCCACCCCACATCACCCCGCCCCTCCACACCCTAAGTCCCCTTGCTCGGGCTCAGCCCCTCCTCTCAGGGGCCCCTGGGGTGCGGGGCCTCTTCACAGCCGCCAAGCAAGGGAGAGATTCGGAAATTACAGATGGAAAGCTCAGTCCGTGTAGCACAGCCGAGCAATCTTTAAAAACAGGACTGATAAAGAAATAAAGGCGGGAAGCAAAGTCGAAGCTGCAATGCACGGAAACTGGAAGCAGGTCAAACGCACACCAACGAAAACAGTGGAAAGGGTGCCTCCCACACGCTCCCAGAGACGGCTGCGCATCCTCCCGACATTTGTACCACAGAGAAATAACGGGAGCATCAGGAGGAGCCAGAGGACGGGCCCGGGACACAGGGTATTCAACGCTTTACCAAACGACAACGGGGCCTCTGGCACAGGGTGGAGAATGAAATATTTCGTGCATTATGTTTGCTCAACCCGTGGCCACTGTCAAGTACAATTGGGGCTAAATCCCTAGATCACGCATCCGCGGAGATCAGTTTTCCCCGGATGCAAAATTCTCCCCTTCAAAAGCAGATTCGTAAAACATAAGCGAAGCTTCGGATTTCCTTCCTGGGTGATGACGATGTTTTGGGCTAGCTAGAGGTCCCATGCTAACACAGAGTACCGTGCATGTACCAAAGGCCACCCAACTGTGCCCTTCAAAAAATGGTTATTTTCACGTTATGTAAGTTTCACGTCCGTTTTGAGAAAAGGAAAAAGAATCCTCACGTGATTCTCCTGCAAAGGTCTAGGTGCAGGGGCTTCTTGTACAGAGCTTTCCAGGAGGCCTCACACAATGACCTTTTCCTTCCTTCTCGTGGGCCCTGCTATCTGCAAGGGTGCGGGGGACGCAGCCAGGGCGCAGAAGCACACCCAGCAAAGAGGGGGAGGAGGGATGTAGAGAGGACAGCTCCGGAGGGAAAGGGGGACAAAGTAGTCACACACATGACGTCAGTCGGAGTGAAATAGCAAGTTTGCCTCCGATATATTTGTGGGTTCTATCACAAGGCAGTGAAAGAGGACACGTGTACATAGAGAATTTAAATGTCGAAATTACAGGAGTGGTTAGAAGCCAAGGCCTCCTAGGCTCTAGGTTTGGAAGTGAATGGGTTGCCTCTCCCTCATCCCCACCCAGGGACCCGGCCCGCAGACCAGGGCTGTGTCCTGACTGGGAATCGAACCAGCGACCCTTTGGTTCGGAGGCTGGCACTCAATCCACTGAGCCAGGGCCACTCAATCCACCAGCCAGGACCACACATGGATGTTTTCCTCCCTCTCTTTCTCCTCCCCTTCCCCTCTTTCTGAAAATAAATAGATAAAATATTTTTAAAAAAAGAAATTAAGTTCTTGGAACAATATGGCAGAAACTTAAGTAGGTTAAAAATGGTCCAAGATAAAATTAAAGACCTTTTCCTGGCTGGCATAGCTCAGTGGATTGAGCACGGGCTGAGAACCAAGGTGTCGCAGGTTCGATTCCCAGCCAGGGTACATGCCTGGGTTGCAGGCCATGACCCCCAGCAACCGCACATTGATGTTTCTCTCTCTCTCTCTCTCTCCTTCCCTCTCTAAAAATAAATAAATAAAATCTTTTTTTAAAAGAACATGTTTATCTCAAATGGAAATCCTAAAAACAAACAAACAAACAAATAAATAAATACATACATACCTTTTAAAATATTATAGCACAAAAACTGTGCAGAGCCTCAGGGTGGCCACTTGGGCCATCGGACCTGGGGAGGGCATCCACATTCACGCCCTAGCTCCGGGAGGGTTCTTCCTCCCAGACCCAATGTGTGCCTGAAGAGGTTTCACTCAGTGGTGGGAGGTGCCCACCTTGGCTGTTCCAAGCTGAGGTCAGTGTTTACCTTCTGACCCGCCTTTCACCACAGCTCTGCTCCTCCGTGCCCAAGTCCTCAGTCGTATTTGCACCCTCCCAGCTGCCCTCCCACTGCCCTGCACATGGCTCTACACCGGTCTACTTCCCGCCCGTCCTCTCGTTCAAGTCAGAATGAAATACAGCTGCCAGCCTGGACAGCCTTCTCCTGGACGGGCTCCACCGGCTCCTGCATCCCACACCTCCTCCTCCTCCTCATGATCCTTCTCCTCCTTCAAGATTTTATTTATTTATTCTTAGAGGAAAGGAGAAAGAGGAGAGAAACATCAGAGTGTGGTTGCCTCTCGCGCACCCCTACTGGGGATCTGCCTTACAACCCAGGCGTGTGCCCTGACTGGGAATCAAATTGGACCAGCGACCCCTTTGGCCTGCAGGCCAGCACTCAATCCGCCAAGCCACACCAGGCAGGGCCGAACCTTCTTTCTTGGTTGACTCTTCCGATATGCCTGCAAGCATTTTCTGATTGCCTGCTAATAACTGATTAGTGGATGGTAAATTTCCTGAGTTCTTGCATGTCTAAAAATGTCATTCTCTGTTCTCATAACTAGAATAGCTTGGCTGGATGTAGAATTCTAGACGGAACACTATTTTTTTTCCTTAGGGGGAAAAGAAAATCAACCCAATAGCACTGAGCACCCTAACACCCAAACTGTGGTCTCTAAATACTATTTCCCTCTACCGGAATCAGGGCTGCTGGGAGAGCTGGCTGATTAGGGTTTGGGGTAGGAAATGTTCAAGGTAAACCTGAGATACCTTGTCACACCAGAACGTTTGAACTGGGTGGCGGTACTTTATAGCTGCAGGGACATAAATACTCAGCAAAGGCCATGAGCTTTTTAAACACTGTAACCTGTCCACACGTTAAGAAGGAACAGAGAAATGCAAGCCATCCGCCTCTCTGGAAAATGAGCAAAGAAGAGAGCGCTTGCCGCGGTCCTGCGTCGTTTTCCACGGGCCCGCGGCACTTCCTCACGACCCCGGACACTGTGCCGTTGGACCGCGGCTAGCCTTTGTCGGTGGCAGTGAAATGACATCCCAGAACTTAAATGTGCCTGCCCTCTCATCACCCAACAATGGACACGGCTACATTAAAAGTCCGCATAGCTGCACGGAGACGTGTGTACGAGGACCCACAGGGCGGCGCTGTTGGTAACCGTGAGAGGCGGGAGCAACCCCACCCCCACTGGCAGCAGTGACGCAAGGTACGGTGCATGCGCAGAATGAAAGGCGGGGGTAGGGCAGTTAAAATGAGCGAGGTGGCTCTGTAGGTAGGAAAAAAGGTCCTTATTTTGCACTGGCTGGTGTTACTCAGTGGACTGAGCGCCAGACTGCGAAGCAGGGGGTTGCTGGTTCGATTCCCAGTCAGGGCACATGCCTGGGTTGCAGGCCAGGTCCCCAGTTGGAGGTGTGCAAGAGGCAACCACACATTGATGTTTCTCTCCCTTCTGTCTAAAAATAAAATCTTAAAAAAAAAATGTTATTATCTGTTGAATAAAGCGAGTTCCAAGGAGATATCCCTGGTTTTAAAACACTCCCACATGCATAGAAGAAATGGGTGCCCCCTTGTCCCACAGAGGTCGTGGTGCCTGACATGTGTTTGTGTTGAGACTCGTAAGGAGATGCAGAGTGTACTTAACAGATTTTCCTATGCCTGGAATTCTTACAGCTGGCATGCATTTTGTAATCAGGAAAAAAAGCTAAATAATGAACAAGGATCATAAAGCTTTTTATTTAATAAATATAACCAAAAATTTCAAAATACTTTATTCCATATGTAGCCAATTCGAGACAGGAAAAAGAGTTAGGAGGAAATGTTTGGAGAGATTAAGTGAAGGAAAGGGTCAGGAGAGAGGCAGGAGGAGGTTGGGAATGTGAGTCGAGAACAGGAAAATAACAAACGCAGGCGGAGGCAGAGACAGGCGCTGGGGGCCCCGTGACTCCCCCGGCACCCCCCCACCCCGCCCCCGTCATTGGTCACATCTCGCAGGCGTCCTTCCCCCCTTGGCAACGAAGGGAGACGCTACACTGACGCTCGGGGAATGAACCAGGACTCCAGAAATCCCCACCCCGGGGAAGGCTGGTTCCTCTTTCTCCTTGACCATCGGGTTTGAGGTGTTTCCCCTCCGAGATTAGAGAAAGGAAAACGGGCTGGACAGCCGCGAACTCTAGCCAGGAACCGCTTTGTTTTTCTGAGCAGACTTTAAGATCCTCAGGGCTGTCCTTTTGCACTAGGTCTTAACATCCATCTTCGCTCAAAGCCTGTCTTTTTTTTTTTTTTTAGAAAAACCTGGACTATTGGGTTCTGTTCTGATGCCTCCAAATGACACTCGGAAATAGAGTTTACTTTGCAGTTCATGGGTTTCAAATCCGTCCGGGAAAGATGGGAGGGTCAGGCCCGGTCAGGGGGGTAGGGGGGCGGTGACACCGTGTGCTGAGAAGTCAGTGATGGAGTTCAAAGGTGGGTGTGCAGGCCCCGCCCTGGCCCAGAGCAGGCGGGCCGGGAGGAAGCCCGTGGCAGGGGGGCCTCCTCCGAGGAGGGGTCTGTGACTCAGGCACGGCTCTGGACCACCAGGAAGGGGACCACGGGAGGGCTGGCCGACAGCCCTCTGGTCACAGTGCTGTCCCCGTACGGCCGAGGGTGTGTTGGGAGCTTGTGGCAGTGTGGGGGTGCTCCAGGCCTCCCGCAGACCCGGAAGGCAGGCTCAAAGCTGGCCCCAGGCCGACCCCTCACGGACCAGTACTAGTTCCCTAAGAGAACCCCCTAAAAAACAGTGTTTGTAGAACCCAGAGGGGCCGGACGCCTCGGAGAGCTCCCTGAGGGCAGCGAGGGGCAGCGACAACACGCGACCCAGGCAGACCGCTGGTTTCTCCAGTCTTTATTAAAGCTAGGTCCTCCTGCCCACTGCTCAGAGCGGGACAGAGGCAGCCGGGCCCGCAGGGGCGCCGAAGGGGTGCGTTTGAGGGCTGTGCCTGGAGGGCCAGCCCGGAGCCAGGCCCCCGGCCATTTGGGGCCAGCCCACCTCGCCCCGACCCTTTCTGAGGCTCCTGTCCCACAGGGAGAGGAGACCAGGGACCAGGACCCCTGCCCTCTTTACCACCCCGCCTCACTCCCCCACCTCCCAGGCGCACTCACACCACCGCCTCCTGCACCCCCGACTCCCAGCCCCCAGCAGCCGGCTGCTGGCCCTCGGCCCCCAAAGGCCACGTCTACACTAAAACAGAGGGAACTAGGTCTAAAGGGAACGCAGATGCTCAAAATCTGTTTGCTGGCCCCACGCACACCGGCCACAGAGGTGTTAGGTCTTAAGAATGGGGGCCGGGGGGTGCCGCCTCACACAAGCTGTGCCCTGCCCCATGGTTTCCAGTGGCCCAGCCCAGGAGGTGGGGTGCGGGCCAGGTGTGGGCCTTGCATAGTTGGGAGGTTGGTTGGTCATTGAGCCAAGGGTTCAGGACCAGGCTGCACAGATGGACCACCGCTGTGCAGGCTGCCCACGTCAAGGGCAGAATGGCAGGCAGAGGCAGTGTTAAAGTGACCCGCAGATGTCACAGGGCCCTGATTGTGACACGGGAGCAAGGATCCCGCCACCAGACTCGGTCGCCGTGCATGTGGCTATCAAATCTAAGTGAGCGTTGGGCTCGGGAGGGCAGGCCGGCACGTGTCCGACAGCTCCGGGAGAGATGGCGGCCCGGGGCGAAGGCTGGGGCCCAGGCCCCCGAGGGTCTCTGAGTGTGTCCCCTCCTGTGCGAGGGTGAGCACCAAAGGACTCTGAGGAGAGGCTGAGACTACAGTGGCCGGCGCGGCAAGCACCTGGCCCGGCTGAGTGCTCGCATGGGGTGAGGACAGTGGGTGACTCAGGAGAATAAGGCTTAAGATAAGATTCCTTCGGGACTTGCAAACCCCGTGCCCCGCCCGCCCTGCCCCCAGGCCACAGGGTTGCTTCCTGGCTTTTGATCCTCCACCCCATTCTTCAGGCCACACGAAAGATGGAAATACACACTCACAGTCCCCAGTCCAAACCAAAGCTCCCCCAGCTGCATTTCTGCCCCAGGTTAGGGACGACCACCGTCCTTTGGGGCCTCAAGGGCCGCCCCTGTTCCCCCAAGTGCACGGTCTGTAGAACTCCCCGGAGGTGCTCAGCTGACCAGAGGACCCCCAAGCGTCCCACTGAGGTATGGAGGAAGTCCGCAGCAAACCTACGGAGAAGCCGGCGCCGGGCCCTCCACCACCCTGCCTTCCCCTTGGCGAAAGGGCTTCTCCTCCCTCACTGTAAGACCCCTGGTTTATAGACTGTCCCGGGGGCCCCCCAAGTCAGAACCCCAATAAAATAAATACAGTGGCCTGACACCCCTACCGCTTGGTTTCACAGCACCGACCAGGGACGTGGAAGTCTTTGTCGGGGTGGGTGGCCCCTGCCTCGCCACGTCCGCCCAGCTCTCCTCTCCGCCCCCGACAAGCTGGGCGGCGCCAATCCCAGGGGGCACAGGGAAGCCCGCGGCCAGGGGCTGAGGGAAGGCACCGCACCGGGACTGGGGCCCTCAGCCCCGAGAGGCCAGAGGAGCAAGGGGCTGGCACCCGAGCAGCCCTGGGGAGGGGCCGGTGGCCCAGCGGGCTGTGGTTCCACTGGCCTCGGGCACTCACAGGACGCTCTCCTCATAGGCGCCCGAGGGCCCCGCGAACACGGTCGCGGGGTCCGAGCCGAAGCTCGTTCCGCCCGCGAACTCCAGCAGGGTGCTGCCGTGCTCCCCCAGCCCGGTGCCCGTGCTGGTGCTGGGCGGCCCCTTGGCAGGCGCCTCGGTCTTAGGCGCGGGGGCCGCGGCTGCGGTGCCGGGCGCGCCGGCCGCGCCGCGGTGCGTCTTCATGTGGGTGAGCAAGTGCGAGCTCTGCGAGAAGCGGCGGCCGCAGTTGGCGCAGGCGTAGGGCCGCTCGCCCGTGTGCGTGCGCTGGTGCGTGACCAGCACCGAGCGCTGCGAAAAGCGCTTCCCGCACTCGGGGCACGGGAAGGGCCGTTCGCCCGTGTGGCCACGCCGGTGCTTGGCCAGGTTGGAACGCTGCGCAAAGCCGCGGCCACAGTCGGAGCAGCGGAAGGGCTTCTCGCCCGTGTGTGTGCGCCGATGCCGCTTAAAGTCCGAGCTGTGGCCGAAGCCCTTGCCGCAGTCAGGGCAGCGATGGGGCTTCTCCTCGGCGTGAGCCCACTGGTGCCGCGTCAGCGCCGCGCTCTGCCCGAAGCGGCGGCCACACTCGCCACACGCATAGGGCCGCTCGCCGGTGTGCGCGCGCCCGTGCGCCGTCAGGTGCGCACGCCGGCTGAAACCTGCGCCGCACACGCCGCACACAAAGGGCTTCTCACCGGTGTGGCCACGCACGTGCGCCGCCAGGTGTGAGCCTCGAGCGAAGCGCGCGCCACACTCTGGGCAGGGGAAGGGCCGCTCGCCCGTGTGCGTGCGCCGGTGGCGCGCCAGGTGCGAGCCGTACACGAAGCTCTTGCCGCAGTCTGCGCAGCGGTGCGGCCGCTCGCCCGCATGATAGCGCTGGTGTTTGGCCAAGGCGGCACGGCGCCCGAACGTCTTGCCGCAGTCGGAGCAGATCCATGGGCTCTCCTCTTCGGCCAGTGTGGCGGGCGCCGGCTCGGCCAGCAGTCCCCCAACGGCCGGCCCGAACGCACGCAGCCCGCCGCCGCCGCCCCCAGGCCCACCACCGCTGCGGAAAGGGTCGCAGGCCAGTCCCGCGCCCTCCACCAGAGAAAGCCGGCCCCCCAGGGGTCCTGGCAGAGGCCGCCCATCGGCCGGCAGCTGCTCCCCGAAGCCCGGGAGGCTTAGGATCTGGAAGCCGTCCGGATGCAGCCAAGACTTGGGGTGAACAGAAAAGTGGAAGCCGAGCGGGTGCGAGGAGGGACCTTCGCTGTCGCCTAGGCCATTGCCGAGTTCCAGAAACCTCCTGTCGCGTTCCGGGTCCTCTTTGCTCCGAGGGGTGGGCGCCTCTGCTGCAGCTGCAACCTCCTCTCTCGCCTGGGCCTCGGCCTCTCCATCCACCTCGCTGGCTTCAGGCAGCTCCGGCCCGGCCTCAGCTTCCTCGGGCTGCGCCGCGAGCACCGTCTCGCAGGGCTCTTGGCGAGGGCCGTCGCTGCTGGGCTCGGAGCAGCCCCCACCGCGCCGGTGGCGCTGGAAGTCCGCGCGGAGGCGGAAGGCCTGGCCACAGTCCGGGCAGCAGTGCGGCCGGTCGGCCGTGTGCACGGCCTGGTGCCGCGCGAGCGCCGAGCTCTGGCTGAAGCTGCGGCCGCAGTGCGGGCACGGGTAGGGCCGCTCGCCCGTGTGCGTGCGCTGGTGCGTGACCAAGTAGGAGCGGCGCCCGAAGCCCGCGCCGCAGAAGGCGCAGCGGTAGGGTCGCTCGCCGGTGTGGATGCGCCTGTGCGTCACCAAGTGAGATTTGTAGACGAAGCGCTTGCCGCAGTCCGGGCACGGGAAGGGCTTCTCGCCGGTGTGCGTGCGCTGGTGGATGGCCAGGTGCGAGCGGTACACGAAGCCCTTGCCGCACTCGTCGCAGCCGAAGGGCTTGACGGCCGCGTGGTAGCGCTGGTGCTTCGCCAGCCGGGACCGGTGCGGGAACACCTTGCCGCACACCTCGCAGGTGGTCTCCGGGCGCCCCACCTGGGCGGCCGCTTCCGCCGGGAACGCCCACGGCGCCAGCAGGCCCCCGTCCGCCTCACCGCCCGGCAGGAAGGGCTTCGCCTCCGGACCCTCGGCCAGCGCCCCCAGGCCGCCTGGGTCGAGCCCCCAGCCCTCCGGAGTCTGCGCGGAATCCGAGTCATCGGGGCCCCACGTCCCGGGCACGTCCCCCACACCATAGGCCGCTGACCACAACCCCGGCGGCTCGTTCTCGTCCTCGGCCACCTCTGCCAGGAAGTCCTCGTCGTCTTCCTCCTCGTGGTCCTCTATGTCGTCGGTCCAGAACCAGGCACCTGAAGGCGGCAACGGAAGCCGGAAGAGAGAGGTGAGAAGAGGCTGCGCCGGGAGCCCCCGCGGGCTCCGGCCCCTGGAAACCTCCGCTTCTTCAGGGGCAGCCGCCGCCGCCGCCGGCTCTGCTCAGCATCCCTCCCTCCGGGCTCTTCTCCACCCGCCTCAGGCTGGCCAGCACCCGGCGTCTCCCTCCTGCGCCCAGAGCAGAGCCAGGAAAGGCTGCCCTGGGCCGAGGAGACCGGGGGCTCTCCGCACCCACCCCAAGAGGCTCCAGCATCTGCCCGGACGCCGCCCAGGCTCCCCTGCTGGGCCGCGCCCCAGCCCGGCCTTGTCTGCACGGCTGTGCGTGTGCACAATGGTCCCCAGCTGGCTCAGGCTGCAGGGGAGCTGCTTGCCGCTCGCCACTTCCCGCCCCACAAGGACAAGGACCCCCCAGGTTCCTGCTGCCCCATCCCCCCTTCTCCAGGCTGCACTGCGCCCTCTCCCTTCAGCGCAGAGCGTGGACACGGGGCCAGGTCTGCAGGGCTTCCGCGTTCGTAAAAGGGGGTTGCTGGTCCCCCTGCCACCGTGACCCCCCCCCCCACCGGAGGGAACTGGTGTTTATGCAGCGGGCGCAGAGTCCCACAGGGAACAGACACCTGGCCCGCGGGGGGGCGGGGGGGCAGTTGGGGGAGGATTCCAAAGCACCTGCGTGCTTCCCCGTGTGCGCCTCACGCCCTGTGCCCATGGTGGTGGACGCGCGTCATTTCCGTGGCCCACCTGCAGGGGAGAGTCTGGCCAGAGCCCAGACCTCAGAGGGGCCCACCTTGTCCAGAAGCACGAGCGGAGAATACACTCGTGCTCTGCAAGGCTACACGCTGGCCACACAGCAGCTCTGCCGGGCGCAGCAGCAACCCTCGCCGGCTCGGCGGCACAGACACGAAGGTGGGGGAGGGGACAGACTGTTCAGCAGACCGGGTGCAGCGTCTCTCAGGGAGGACCCCAGATGGACAACCCCTGCAGGGTGACCCCCGCAGACAGGTGACTTCTCTGACACCCTGATCCTACCCGCCTCAGGCTCTGCAGATGGCCGGGGTCGGGGGTGGGGGAGCATTCCAGGTCCCCAGCCAGGTTCACGGACACACTGAGGCACCAAGACCCGCCAAGGACCGTGGAGGACCGGGCACATCCAGGCCCCGTGACGAGGGACTGGCCAGTGCCAGCGTGTGGCCCCTTCACGTGCAGGCGGCTTTTCCGAGATGTGCCCATAATCAGGACACACGTCCCTCTCAGATCCTCTGAGAGAGGCCACCGACCTCCCAGTCTCCTCCGGGAGGCAGCCGAGATGGGTCTCGCTGGTCGGAGCCCTGAGCCCCGTGACCCTGAAGCCCAGGAAGGGTTCCGAGAGGGCCCTGGACCACGGGCACTGGGGCGGAGAGCCCACCCCGCAGCGCAGTGCAAAGGGGGCCTGAGGCCGACCCACCGGGGGCAAGTCAGGCGATCACCCCCTGAAAGGTCAACTCCCTCACGAGCGAGGTGTTCCCCGGGGCCGTCAGGGCCACCGAGGGGATGTGGGGAGACGCTCCGGAGCACGCACGCACACGGGGAGCGCCGCCCGCGTGTTCCTGTTTGTTTGTTTGTTTGACTTTAAACACACCTCGGACCGACGAGTCTGTCCAGGCACGTGACTGGCGTGACATTCACCCCCCCAAAGCCCAGCACACCTACTGTGTGCAGGCCTCCGCTGAACCTGCTGGAACTCCGAGGGCGCCTCACGACCCCCCAACCGGACACCTCCGCAGTGTCGCCAGTCCGACGTCCTCAGGTTGGAAACTCCAGATTTAGTTCAAACTCTTTATTGTCCAGGGGGGTGAAGTGAGGCTCGGACAGACGGAGGGAGAGAGCCAGAGCCCGGCCCCAGGCCCCCGGAGACGGCTGCCCTGAGTGCTGCCCGGAGGAGCCTCTCCAAAACACCCTCTCCCGGAGCTCCAGAGCTGCCCGCCCAGGCCGGAGGCCCGTCTCCGGGCCTTCCGGGAGGGGAGGGGAGGCTCAGAGGCACCCGCTGTGGCCGAGTGGGTGGAGAGACCAGAGGAGTGGCCTCAGCACGGCCGGCACCTGGGGCTCACCCCTCGGGGCTGGCAACCTCACAGCGGGCCCCACTCCCAAAAACACTCAGAGACTCCAAGGCAAGGACAAGGACTCACTTCTAAAGTCCCGAAAGGGACCTCTAGGTGCTCAAATGACCTCCCTGCCCGCGGCTGTCTGCAGGCTGGGACAGGAGGAGCCAGCCCACAGCGGCCACCCCATCCCCACGAAGCCCGCCCCACGGCCCAGGCCAGCAGTGCCGGCCACAGTCGGGCGGGGCTCGCGGGAGCTGTGTGGGCAGGAGCCCGGGAGAGGCTGTCTCGTGCTCACCTGTGTAGACACCGGTGACGATGTCGCCCTCCTCAGGCCGGGGGCTGTCGGGCACCCAAGGCTCCTGCCCGTGTTCCAGCCGGGAGATCAGGTCTGGCTTGGGGATGGGGTACCCTGCCGCGGAGAGAGCCAGAGGGCAGTGCGGCTGCGCCCACAGGCCCCCGCCAGCTCCTCTCTCCTCTCTCCTCCGCCCCTTCCCGGACCGGCCCTCCCACTTCCCTGCGCACTCGGGAAAATTCCACATCCCCTTCTCCATAGCCCTGCCCTGAGAGCCCCCCACCCCCACACCTTCTGCAGGGCGCCCCCTCCTCTCTCCTTCGCCCCTCGAGGCCTCTGGGGGTGTCTGAGAGGCCAGGGCTGGGTTGGCAGCTCTGCAGAGCACGTCCACCTGGCTCGCGGCACAGCCGGGCCGCACCGGGGCCCCCGGGGCAGCTCCCGCCCGGCAGCGGGGTGGTCCGGGGCTCCCTGGGGGGTGGTCCGGGGCTCCCTGGGGGGTGGGCCCCCGCCCCCAAGACCCCGTGGCTGCAGATGTGGCCCTCTCAGGCAGCCGGGCGTGGGGACCCGAGGGCCCTGCTCACCCAGGGACACCAGGATCCCGTAGTTCTCCCGCATGACTTCCTCGTAGAGGTCCCGCTGGCCGGCGTCCAGCCGCCCCCACTCCTCCAGGGAGAAGTACACCGCCACGTCCTCGAAGGCCACCAGCCCCTGGGAAGCAGAGCGCCCGGGTCGCAGCTCTGAACGGCCCCAGGTGGGGCGCGGGGGGGGGGGCGGGGCAGGGCCCGCAAAGGCAACAACGGAGGGTGACCTGGACAGGCCAGGCCAAGGCCCCGAGACTCGGTGCCCACGGGGCCACAGCCCGACGCCGTCACCGGCGGGCCCACCGCCGCCCACCAGCACTGGGGGCTTCCAGGCCTGGCCACGGCCCTCCGGGGCAGGGTCCATGCCCGTCCGGAGAGCAGGAAGCCAGGCTGGGGGGGGGGCGCACCAGGCTCACGTGGGGCAGAGCCAGGATCCACACAGCCGCCTCGTCCCGCCCGCGTCACCGGCTGGCTCAAGCCAGCAGTCATGTCTAAGGGCCCACGCCCGGGGCGGGGGAGGGGGGGGCAAGCGGCGCCCGCTGAGCTGAGTGTGGGCACTGGTGTCCAACCTGACAGTCTCCGCAGGAACGCAGAGCCTGGACAAGGGACAGCACCCCGGGGAAGGGGCACGGCCTGGCCCCGGGGAAGAGCCAGGCCTCTGAAGGAGCCGCACTGCGCCGGTGAGTGGGCGGCGGCGGACAGGGGCAGGACATTCCGATGACCTGGGAACCAGGCTGGGCCCCAGGAGAGAGGAACCACAGCCCACGGCCTTGGGGCTGCAGACGCCCGGCACTTTCCGCAGCCACATCCCAGCTCACAGCCCGGGCTGCTCGGCCCGAGGCCCACAGTGCGGCCCACAGCGGTCTCCAGGGCAGCAGCGGGCAAGCCCCCGGGCACCCCTGCCCGGCTAACTGCGCTCCAAAGGAGAAGGCGGCTCACCTGAGACCCAGCTGTGAGGAAACCACCCTCCTCCTCCTCCTCGTCGTCCTCCTCCTCCTCCTCGTCCTCATCCTCCAGGTCTTCCTGCCCAAGCATGGCCGGAGGCCGGGAGGCCTGCAGGGCTGGGGGGGGGAGTCTCTTAGGGGCCTGGCCGCCCCGGCCGCCTCCGCCCACCCAGCAAGCAGGCTCAGGAGCTCCCGGCGAGTCCGCACGTCAAAGCCTGGCCCTGGCGTCCCAGCCCCAGCTCCAGCCCCAGCCCCAGCCCCAGCCCCAGCCCCAGCCCATCAGGCCAAAGAGCCCCCCCGGCCTGCCCACCCGAGCCCCCACCTACCCTCCTTCCCCAGTGGCCGGCTCCTCCTTACCTTTTGCCTGAAGAGCCGGGGCCTTGGCGTCACCACCACGGCCAAGGCGTTCCTGGGTCCCCGACGCCGGGCTCCGCTCTTCCGCCGCCACCTCCTCCTCCTCCACGTCCTCGTCCTCCTGCAACTCCACCTCCACCTGGTCCACCTGGTCCCCCTGCCCGGCCCACCGCCCGTCGGCCTCCAGGGCCTCCACCACCTCCTCCTCTTCCTCTTCTTCCACCACCAGCTCCTCCTCGTCCTCCGGCATCTCCACCTCTTCCCCCTTCTCTTCCTCCTCCTCCTCCTCCTCCTCCTCCTCCTCCTCCTCAGGATCACATTCCGACCCGTCCTCCGCCCTCTCCAGGTGGGCGGCCGGGGAGTCCGGAGCCGTGTGGAGGGCCGCCATCTCCGCGGGAAGTCAGCCTCAGCCTGGCCTGAAACACAGATGGGCCGCGGGATGAGCCGCCCTGGCGTGCTCACCGGCCGTGGGAGGTCTCTTCTAGCTCGGAGACCAGCAGCCCTGAGAGCTGAACTGTCAAAGCCCAGTGGCTCAGCCCGGGCACTCAGGAGACGCAGCCAGGGAGATGCAGCCAGGCGGCGGCATGGCCAGGGGCTGTGGGTGCAGGGGAAGGGAGGTGTCTGGCCCCGGGGGCCACCTCTCCCTCAGCTGTGAACCCTCCCTCGGCCCCAGTAAAGCCCCGAGGGCAGGAGAGAGTCAGTGTGCAAGGCTGCTTCTCGGGAGTGGACCCGCAAACATGCCCATCACCCAGCACCTGCTCCATCAGCATCTCCGATCTCAGCGGGTTCCTCCCTGGCGTGAGCCACACCCACTACAGACACGGCCGCCCGCAGTCCCGGGGTGAAGGGTGAGGGCGCGGACACAGGAAGGGCCCTGAGACGGCAGGCCGCACAGGGCAGCGGGGCCGGGCACCGCTGGCCCAGCTCTGCCAGCGGGCAGCACCTGCCGCCGACCCCCCGACACAGGCCGGGGGCACCAGTGAAGACGCCCAGGTCCTGAGGACAGGTCCCGTCACGGGGCGCCCCGCAGAGCTGCTCAGGGGCCAGCTTGGACTGCACAACCGTTCGCCTCCGCACAGACAAGGCCGTGCGCAAGCACTTCCCGGACGGCTCCCGGCCGCCACTCCGAACCCACACTTAAATGGCCAGGGTGCTCCTCCGGAGTCCAAGGCCCGGGCCCAGGCCCAGGCCCAGGGGCTGGGGCTCACTAGCACCCGGAAGCCGCCTCTGCCCTGACCCCCGGGCCCCCCTGCTGGCTCCAGCCCCAGCTCGAGGTCCCAGGTGAAGGACTCAGCCTCTGAGGGTGCCCCCCAGCCCCAGCCTCTCCCAGAGCCGCCTCTTCGGTCTCCACAGCTCTCTGGCGGGTGAAGGCGCCGCCCCAGCCTCCTCTGGGAGCACGCAGCCCTGCCCTGCCCAGCTCTCGGGGCGAGGAGAATGCCAGCAGAGGTTTCCCAGCTGCCACCTACCTCCGGCTCAGAGGGCTCTGCTCACCCTGACCTCAGGCGGCAAATTCAGGCCGAGCACAGAAGCCACGCCCAGCACGGCAGAGACACCTCCAGCAGGGCCCAGGGACCCACCTCGACAGCAAAAGCCACAGCTTTGGAATCAACCGACCCCGTGCTCAGGGCCTGGACGCGTGGCACCTCCCCCTCCTGGGACTCCCTTTCCCTCTTCCTCACCCACCCTCCAGAGGCAGCCCACCCCCCTCCCTCCTGCAGGCCCAGGCGCACCCAGTGCGTGGGTGGGCCGCGGCCCTCACGGCACCTGTGCTGTTCATACGTTAGCGGCGGCCTGCTCCCCGCCAGGCCCCCAGGCACACAGTCAACCCTAAGAAGGTGGGAGCTCCCCCTGCTCATCTCTGGATCCCCTCAGGCCAGCCCAGAAGGCGCGCTCAGCTCCTTGGTGAAGAAATGACCCCAGATCCCGCAGTCAGTGGGGTGAGCGTGGCATTTAAAAACGCAGCCTCCTGGCCCCGCTGACAAACTCCGGGCCCCCGCTGGCCGCTGTTGGGGGTCCCACGCTGGGAGGCACTGAGCGAGTCTGCCTCCAGAGAGGTCTGGCCCAAAGTCCCTTCTCCCAGCGAGTGCACCTGCCGGTGCCGGGCGAAGGGAAGGACCCAGCAGCTACGGAGGCTGGCAGTCGCCCTGCGTGGGACGAGGGTCCAGCACAGCCAGACACCCCCGGACGACCCGGAATGCAGAACAGAGCACTTCTAAAAACGGGCCTCGGTCACTCTAGCACTGTGTTCGCTTTGCCTCCCCGGGTGCGCACGGGGCGCGCTCCCCAGACCTGCAGGCCCTTCCGTCCTCTCCGTCAGCCCACCAGGAACTCACTCTGCGTCCTCCCCGACATCCAGTCCCAGGCTGGCAGCCACAGCGGGGCAGGGGCGCAGTGCCGCCAGCAGGCACTCCGGGTCACCCCAGGCCCTTATCTCCGCTGGAGCCCTGCACCAGAGGCTGCAGCGCTGCCGGCAAGACACCTTCCATGGGGAGAAGGGAGGACCCCGAGGATGGAAGGAAGGGGCAGAGTTGAAAACCGGCTGGAAATGTTCCAGAAAAGTGGATCAGGAGACACTGATCCGGGAGAAGAGAACTCTCGCGGTAGGGGGGGCGTGGGTCGGTGCGGATGGATTCCTCCCCTCTGTGCGGCCTCGCTCACCGCACCCCTGTGATTCAAGGCCTTCCAGGTTTCCAGCTCCTCCGGGAAGCCTTCCTTCTCTCACCTCCAGGGTCCTCACCGTCTGACCACCGACCTGGGCTCCCCGGCTCTCCAGGTGCAAGCGCACCTACCGACCGTGCCAGCCCTCGCACCTCCCCGGCGGCTCCCCAGACGGGCCAACACTTGTTGACTCAACCAAGTACCAAGGTCTCCCGACACAGGCGCGGCTAGGGGGCTGGTCCTGCTGCGAGCACACTTCCCCTTCCCCGCCCGCACCGGTTCCTGCGCGGAAGGCCAGCCACTCTCCCACCTCTGCAGCCACATGGGGCAGCCCAGACCCCATCCAACTCCAGTGCCTGCAGTGACAGACAGCACAGCGGCCCGCTCAGGCGTCCATTTGCAGACGAGGGAGGGAGGCCCCAGCAAGGCTCCCAACGGCACTAAGCAAGCTCACCAGGGTCTGGCCAAGCTCCTGCACCTTTTCAAGGGGCTCGCCTCCCACAGAAGCCCTGGCGGTGTCAGCCCCTCCTGGATGGGTGTGTCCCTGGGGCCGGCCACCGACCGACCCCCGCCCCAGACGGCGGCGAGCACCTCCCGAGGAGTCGTGGCTGGCCCCCGCCCCATCCCACCTGCTCCGCGCTGCCTTCCTGGACAGGCCCTGGGGGCGGAGCCCGCCCCACCGCGCAGGCCCCGGCGAGGGTCGCAGGCCGCGGCGGGCATGGGCGCGGCCGCCGGAGGCCTGGCCAGTGCGCCGCTCCGGCCCGACCAGGCGCAGGCCCGGGCCCAGGGCTCCGCCGCGCGCCGCGGCCTCCCCGCCGCCTCCCGGGCCGGCGTCGAGGGGCGGCCCGGCCCCGACCCCACGCCCGCGCCCCCGCCGCACCTGCCGCGCGCGCCGCCGCCCGCCGGCCCCGCCACACACTCACCGCGCGCTGTGGGCCGGCCGAGCCGCCGCCGGACGCCGGGGCCGGGCAGGGCCTGCGCCCCGCGCTACACAAAGTGACGGCCCCGGAGCTGCGCGGCGGCGGCGCGTGGGCACCGGAAGTACCGCCGCGGGCCCCGCCCCGCCCGTGCCCATGGGGGGGCACTTCCGGTCACGCGGGGTCCAGCGCGGCTCCTGGAGGGGGCGTTCGGGAGCGAGAGGAATCTCCCCGCGTGCGACGGCACGCTCAGGCCTGGAGCCGGCGCTCAAGTGCACCCGCGCCCCCACCCCGGGGACCCCGGCGCCACCCCCCCGCCCCGCGATCGTACCCCTGAAGGCTCCAGAACCCCATCTCGAGACCCCTGCCCACCCCTGAGACCCCGGCCCGGACCCGAGACCCCGACCCCACTGCCGAGACTTCGCCCTGACCCTGGAGCCCCCACGAGAGGTTCCGCGGCTTGGAGCGTCCCCCCTCCCCAAACTCACCCAGGCATGACTCGGGAGCCCTCCTGAATGCCAGACCCGCGCTAGGCCCGCCCTTGCCTCGGGACCCTCCCAAGGACCCATGACAGGGGCGGGAGGTGGTGACCCCGATGGGGGTCGAGTGGAGGCGTGTCTCCCCGCCGCGGTTGTGAGGCCTAGACCTGGTCGTGGGCGGGGTCGATCCCTCGCTGGTGCGGGACAATCGGGATTCAGGAGGGTGCATCGGGGCCCACAGCTCACCTGCCGGCTCCTGGGACACCAGGGCATGTAGGGCCGAGGAAGGGTGAACTCGGGTGGGGGTGCAGTTGGTTACCCAGAATGGATGAGGACGATTACTCAGGGGCAGGGGCAGCTGAGTAAATGCAATAAGGGCCTCGGGTGGTGAAGAGACCCCTGGACCACAATAGCTGGGGTTCTCCGAGCAGACGCAGGCAGAAGCGACAGGTGCACACAGGCACCTTATGATAAGGTCAGGGTGGTGCACTCCCGCTGGCCACCCACCGCCCTCTCCAAAACCTGTCTGCACCCACCCCAGGGACGCAGCTGAGGGCTGGTTGGGACCCCCAGGGGACGGGGCGCCTTTCAGCCCCAGTCAGGACTGGTGTGGCCCCACTCCTTCCCACAGGGGCCCACTTCTGCGTGGCCTCCCCCCACGCCCCATCTGGTCCTGCGGGACTCTGGGCTGCGGAACCCCGGGGCCCTGGCTCAGACCCTCCCCCACTTCACCCCAGGCGGCTGCAGGGAGAGGACTGAGCGCAGGCTGACCAACGAGGCGGGGTAGGCCAGGCCGCTCGGAGCAACAGGAACGGCTGCCCGGGACTGGCACCTGGGCCTGAAGCTCCCAGGGCAGGGAAGGGTGCTGTCGGGCCCGGGCAGCTGGAGGAGTGGGGCTGGGGTCGCCCGTGGGCTGGGACTGTGAGGGAGCGGAGAGAGAGCCCCGCCAGCACTGCCCCCAAGCCGAGCCCACGCACCATGTGGAGGGCCAGGAAGCTCGGGGTGCAGCCGCCACCAGGTAAAGAACGAACGGGGGAGGGCAGATGACACAGAACCAGCGGCTCCTTTCCTGCCTCGGAACCCTGCTCCGCCTTGTCCGGCCGGGACCCCGCACCTCCCCAGCACCTCAGGTCCCTTGGCCTGTCCCCACCTGGCACCTGAGCCAAGACCGATGTTCGAGGTCTCCCCACTCAACAGGCCTGCCCTCAGTGAGGTCCGGCCCCCACCTGACTCTGCCCCCTCAGCCTGGAGCCGTCCCCCGCGGGCTGGGCCCAGAGGCTGCTGCCCGGGCCCCTGTATACTCCCCCGCTGAGGGTCTTCCCTCAGGGCCCCCAGGGACCTACCCTTCCCCCTGCCCTGTAACGGGCAGAGTCTCCAAAGCTTGTCCCAGCCAGGACACACTGAGCGGTGCAGCCACACGAAGGACCCACAGGCCACCCTGTCCGGCGTGTCCGAGGTCTGTCGGACGCCTCCCTCCCCTGCCCCGCACCTGGGATGTCAGCAGCAAGGGTGCTCAGGTGGACCGCCCACTATTCTGTGAGGAAGACCCTGAGCCACCTGATAGGAGCCTTCGTGTCTGTGTTTATTTTAGAGTCAAAAGATAAAATTCCTGCCCTGACTGGCATAGCTCAGTGGATTGAGCGCGGGCTGAGAACCAAAGTGTCGCAGGTTCGATTCCCAGTCAGGGCACATGCCTGGGTTGCAGGCCACGGCCCCCAGCAACCGCACATGGATGTTTCTCTCTCTCTCTCTTTCTCCCTCCCTTCCCTCTCTAAAAAGAAATAAATAAAATCTTCTAAATAATAATTTAAAAAGATAAAATTCCTCACTCTTGGACCCCACCCGCCCCTGTGCCCTTCAGGGCTGAGCTCCACCGGACCCGGCTGGACGCTCGCGCACAGACCTCGCCAGCAGCCTGGGAGGGGCTGGCCTTCTGCAGACGACCCTCCCCTGACCCCGCATCACCTTTGCACCTACTCAGGGCAGAGCTAGGCTGTCCCAATGGGGTGCTGAGGCTCTCCTGACCTGAAGTCACCCGGTCTTGACCCTTCCGGCCACCTAAGCCCGGAGCTGCCAGGGGTCAGGGCTGGCCGTCCCGGGCACCTGTAGGCTGGGCCCTGGGCATGGCCTCAGGGCAGGCCCCTGGCAGGCGGGCCCCTTACCCGCCACAGAGGTGCCGGAGGGCAGGAGAGCCAGGGCCCAGCCTGGGCTTCCTCGCCCCCTTTCCTCCGTCTCGCAGCGATGTTCTGGAAAGCCCCGGGGGGCCCCGCTGCTTGGGTTGCTCGTGGCCTCAGACGCCATCAGCCCTCCGGACGCCCCTCCCTGCCGGGCAGTCGGCTGCTCAGCGGCACCCTCGCTCCCTTTGAGGCTCCCCGGCGCACCCTGCTTTTCCTTCCTCTCCGTGGGAGCCCTCGATCCGAGTGTGTGTTCACACAACCACACCCGGCCCACGTGCCGCACACCCCGTGAGCGTCGGCCCTTGCTCACGCAGAGGTTCTCTGGGGAGCCCGGGCCCCGCTGCTGCCGCGTGGGCCCTGGGGCTCGCCGGACCCTGAGAGTCGCCGCAGAGGCTGGGGGAGCCCACCAGGGCAGAAGGGCTTGGGGCTGAGCCGTGAGAGGCAACGGGGGTCCCAGGGCTCTGGGCGGAGAGACGTCAGCAGGGTGGGGCCCAGCAGGAGCCAAACCAAGGCGGCCTGCAGGGCTCACCGAGTTCCCGGGGCAGCCTGTGGGACCACACCCCTGAGCCCAGACTCGGCTAGGGGGGTGCCCAGACCCCCTCAGGGAGACAGCAGTTCAGGCCATCCGAACCGGTGACCGCGGGGCTCTCAGAACTCAGTGCTGGCCCTGCCGGTAGCGGTGGGAGCCCCTGACAGCAGTGACAGACATAAGCGGGGGCTGGATTATTCAAATCGTGCGTGACTGGGAATCGGGATGGGGCTCCACTGCCGGTTTTCGACATGATGGGCTGGCTGGGGGCTAGACGCTGCAGCCTGCCCACCACCCGACTCTTCCGGGGGCAGCCGGCGGGCCGGAAACACGGGAGCACGGAAGGAAGGGAGCCAGGCCCACCTGAGGCTCTGCCAGCCCGGGGTGGGGGGGCCCTGGGGGGGAGGGAGCGGGCCGGCCTGTATGGGGCTGGGCCACCCCCCACACAGAGGTTCTCGAGCCCGAAGGAGAGAGGAGAGAGGTGGTTGGCAGAGTATCCCCGGGAACAGGGCCTGCCCGGGCCTGTGTACCCCCAACGGGAAGGAAGCAGCCAGAACAAGCAGCAGCCCCTCCCAGCCACAGGGCTAGCCTCAGCCTGGGTCCCTCCTGCACAGTGGCACCTGGGCTGGGCTGGGGGCACAGGTGAGGGACAAAGGGCGCGGAGGAGGGCAAGTCCCAATGGTGAGGTATGGACTGAGAGCCCCGCGCCGGGGGGCCGAGGGCAGCAGAGGTGAGGAGGTCCCTACACCTGCATGGCAGAGGGGCCGTTTCAGCCAGTCCAAAAGACAGCCGGAGATTGGCACGTGGTGCATCCGGGGAGGCGTGGCCTGAGCGGGAGCCTGGGGGCGGGGCATGTGGGGCAAGCCTGAGGGGGCGGGGCCTGAGCAGCCCCCGGAAAGGCAGCAGGCAGGGTCAGCTCACGATCTACCAGGCTGCCCGGGGTCCAGGTGAGTGGCAAGGAGCTCTCGGAAGGCTGTTCAGATGCCCCAGGTGCAGAGTAACAAGGCTTCAAAGTGACAACATGTCACTCTGTTCAGGCTGCTGGGACGCAGACACCGGCCTGGGCGGCTCAAACAGCCAACGTTGATTTCTCGCTGTCCTGGAGTCTGGGAGCCCGAGCCCGAGGTGCAGGCAGATTCGGTGTCTGGCGAAAGCTCTCTTCCTGGGCCAGAGCCGGCACCTTCTTGCTGGGTCCTCACGTGGTGGAAGGGGTGAGGGAGCTCTCTGGGGCGTCTTGTGCAAGGGCACTAATCCCGTTCCTGGGGGCCCCACCCTCAGGACCTTGTCACCTTCCAAAGGCCCCACCTACTAACACCTTCCCGTTGGGGGTTCAGATTGCAATGTAAGAATTTGAGGGGACACCAACATTCAGGCCATATAGCACAAGGGGACAGAGTTAGGCTGCGGACGTGGGAGTGTTGTTTGGGGGGAGCCTGACCTCACCCCAGTTCTGTGAACCTGACATCACTGGGAAGGCCGCTGCCCATCATCGATGGCCCTTCTGGAGAGAGCCCCTCCCTGCCCAGCCCTCTCCTGCAGGCCCTGCGCCCGCCCCAGCTCCCAGCCAGCGGGGCGGGCTGGGCGGGAGTGGTCGCTTGGCTGCAGGCGGGCACGGCTGGGGTTGCCAGAGGGCAGAAAGCAGAGGCAGACAGAGGTGACAGGAGAGTCCACCCAACAGGGTCGGAAGGGCAAGCCCAGGCCCTGCGATGGGGCAGCGGGAACCGAGGCGGTCAGGGTGCGGACTGCAGGCAGAGGAGGCGCGGGGGGGGCGGGGGGGAGGCGGGGGACAGACTCCCGACTGGGCCAGGCGTCTGCTCGGAGCCTCATCTCCATCAGGGCCCCACGCTGGGGCCTCCCCGTCTGTCCGGGCATCGCCTGCCTCCGGCAAGAATCCCGCCGAGTCGGTTCAGCCAGAATCTCCGCCCTGGATATCTGATTGCCTTCCACCTCTGACCAGAGCCCTCACCCCGGCACCCCCCGGGGGGTAACCGATCACCCCGGCCTGCCTTCAGCAAGAATGCTGCCAGGGCTGTTGAACCAGAACCCCCCCGGACCAGGACGCCCTCTCCGCCCGCGGCTCCCCCACCCCATGCACACACCCCGCTATTCGGCTGGAAAGCCCCCTGCCCCGTCCTTCCACTCTGAGGTCTCTTTCCCCCAACTGCACTAGCTCCTGGATAAAGTGGCTTTTTAAGGCCATTTAAACTAAGGTCTAGCCCCGGATCTCTTTAATGACAGTACTTCTCCTCTCTCCCCATGCCGGGCACGCGGGGGCTCGGTGGGGACATCAGTTATCACCCTTCTGCGCCAAGCTCCTTGCTAGCCACATCCCCCACCCTCGTGCGAGAGCCCAGGGGGAGCCCAGGAGGGCTTCCTATAGGAGGAGGCAGCCGAGGGTCCAGTGGGAGGGAGTTCTGTCCAGCCGGCAGGCCAGCCCCTGAAGGCTGCGCACACCTGCGTGTGGTCTGCGCAGAGACCGGGTGCCTCCAATAGAGAGGCCTCGTGCCTCCCACGCCCCTGGGTCCCTGCCGGTGAGCCACAGCACGGCTGACACACAGAATGGGGGCTTCGTGACGATGACTGGTGGGCTGGCATGCCCCTCGCCCCGCCCCCCAGCACCCACCACAGAGGGCAGAGCGGATACTAGACAGATGACGGATGCGCCAGTGAGCTCCATGTCGTGGCCACACTTTCAGACGCCTCCCCTGACGGTTCATGGGCATGGAGCAGTGACGTGGGAAATTTATTAACGGGACGAGATTGCTTCAGAGCTTGTCCTCAGGAGATGCCCAAACCGCCTCCTCGGGCGTCTACCCGCTGGTCCCCATCTCTCCCGTGGGGGTTTCCATGAATGAGTCCACCCCCCGCCAAGGGTCTCGGGCCAAACGCAAGGGTCTGCGGGAGGAGCACGGGGTCCGCACCTGCAGACTAAGTCCCCGCGTCCAGAGCGCCCAGGAGAACGGTCCCACACAAATGAAGCCCCACAGAACTCAGAGGTGGACACGGGACAACATGTTTCTTCATGTGAGTGTACTTCTTATTCTTTTGTTTCTCACTTACCAACACGTCTGTGGAGTGTAGCAGGCTGTGCTAGCAAAGGAGAAGCAGGGAGGCAAGAGGGGGCGGGGCCTCAGCAGCCACAAGCCGGCGATCAGGGGCTGGAAGTGCGTGGGGGGGCTGCGGTGAGTGGTGGGCAGCCTCCTCCGCCGGCCTGCCTTCCCGCGGGCATCTGTGGCCCCCAGATGACCTTGTGAATGCAAAGAGCATCCCCAATGTCTCCAATCCTCATCCCTGATGTCCTCCCTCTGACCCAGGCAATGCGGCAGAGTCTGCTCAGGCCAGGCCCCTGCATGGCCCGGCCCAGGAGGACCCTGCCCTGGGTCTCAAAGCCAGAACCCAGCCTAGAGCTGGTGGGTTGCAGGAACAGGGGGGTACCCCAGGGTTCTTTCAGGTGGTGGGGGTCCGGGGGGGAGGGGAATCATTCCTTTGGACCTTGGACAGCACTCCCAGAATGCCCTCTGCTTCAGCCACAGGCTTCTATGCAAGAGGACACGAGGGGGCCACTCTGGACAGGGGAACAGCACGGAGGCCCACGGCCTGCGTCCCCCGCTCATCAGGACTCCGGTGGCCCTGCGGGGAAGGTTCTACCTTCTGCCCAGAGCAGAGCAGGACTTCCTGGCATTTGCACATTGCCCCAGCGGACACCCTGACCCTGTGTTCATGAATGCAAACATTCAAATCAGGATTATGTCCACCCTGATGCATTTCTGCTCGAGAACGTGTTTTCAGAGCAACTGCAACTGAGGGCGATCGAACGCCTCGGGCGGTTCTCCACGTAGTGCAGACGAGTTGCCTTCCCCCCCATATTCCCTTGAAATAAGTCTCACCAGGATCAAATCCTTTTTGTGTGCGTTTTACCAGGTGTATTTGATCCCCTGGATAGAGTTCGATCGGGTCCAATGTCACCAACTGTCCCATCTGTCCCTGGAAGTTTTGTCCGGTGCCTCTCATTTCTGGCAAGCCCAGGCCTCCCAGGGGAGGCGCTGTGGGGCGGTCTCCTCACCAATCGGTGCCGGATCTCCAAAGTGTAGCGGGTGCTGTTTGTGCTAATGTGCGACGTCCGCGCGGTCTCGGCCACACCCACTTTCCTCTCGCGAGTGTTCCCGAGGGCGATCCCGAAGGACAGACGGAAGCCTTTTTCCAGCGAGATGTCGGAAAAGGTCAGAGCAGGGTCAAGATGGTACCCGCAGGCAAGGTGAAGTGCCTCCCAAATCAGAGGAGCCGGCCCCCCCTCCTGGTCATGGAGCCTTGTCCCCTGCGGCCTGCTCAGTGCGCGGAGGCCCACCGGTGGCCGAGCGCGTGTTGCGGAGCAGACCCAGGCCCCGGGAGCGGCCGGCTCCGTGCAGCTGGCGCTCGTGGCGGCGGATCTGGACCTTGTGGCGGAAGCGCTCGCCGCAGTCCTCGCAGACGTAGGGCCGCTCGCCCGAGTGCGTGCGCCTGTGGCGCAGCAGGTTGGACGAGACGCTGAAGCGCTTGCCGCAGTCCCCGCAGGCGTAGGGCCGCTCGCCCGTGTGCGTGCGCTGGTGCTGCACGAGCGCGGAGCTCTCGCTGAAGCGCTTGGAGCAGTAGGAGCAGGCGTAGGGCTTCTCGCCGGTGTGGATGCGCTGGTGCGTCACCAGGTTCGAGTGCTGCGAGAAGCCCTTGCCACACTCGCTGCAGCGGTGCGGCCGCTCGCCCGTGTGTGTGGACTGGTGCCGTATCAGGTCGGTGCTGCGGCTGAAGCCCTTGCCACACTCGCCGCAGATGGTCGGCCGGTCCCGGGCGCGCCGCCGTCGCCGCTGCCTGGCTGGCGCCAGAGCCGCACTGCCCGCAGGGCCCGAGATGGGTACCACCGCCGGCGGGGGTACAGCCGGCAGCACCATGAGCTCCTGCAGCACCACGTAGCCCGGGGGGGCCACCATGACAGCGGCTGGAGCCCCCGGCCCTGAAGCCCCACCCGCCCCCACGGCAGGCACGAGCTCCAGCTGCAGCTCTGGTTGCACGGGTGTCAGCTCCAGCTGCACCTCCTGCTGCTGGGCCCCTAGCTCCACTGGGGTCAGCTCCAGCCGCACCTCCTGCTGCTGCTGCTGCTGCTGCTGTTGCTGCTGTTGTTGCTGTTGTTGCTGCTGCTGCTGCTGCTGCAGTTGCAGCAGCTGCAGCTGCTCCAGATGCTCCAGCTGCTGCTGCTGCTGTTCCAGCTGCTTCTCCAGCTGCTGCAGCTGCTCCTGCAGTTTGATCTGCAGCTGCAGCTGTTCCTGTTGTCGCTCCAGCTCTTGCTGCCGCTCTAGTTCTTGCTGCCGCTCTAGCTCCTGCTGCCGCTCTAGCTCCTGCCGCTGCTGCTCCAGTTCCTGCTCCGACCCCAGGTCCACTGGCATGAGCTCCAGCTCGACCTCTTCCTCCTCCCCCGGCCCCAGTGGACGAGGCTGCAGCTGCTGCTGCTGCAACAGCTGCTGCTGGAACTGTTGTTGCTGTAAAAACTGCTGCTGGAACTGTTCCTGCTGCTGCTGCTGCAACAGCTGCTGCTGGAACTGGTGTTGCTGTAGAAACTGCTGCTGCTGCAACAGCTGCTGCTGCTGCTGGAACTGTTCTTGCTCCTGCTCCTGCTGCTGCTGCTGCTGCAACTGTGCCTGCCGTTCTAACAGTTCCTGCTGTTGCTCGTGCACTTGCTGTGCTTGTAACTCTCCCTGCTGTTGCGTCAGCTTCCGTGGCTCACGGTGCACAGATCGGGGTCCTTCCTGTGGTTCCTGCTGTCGCTGAGGCAGCAGCTGTTGCCCATCCTGCTGCTGCCACTGTGGCTGCTCCTGCTGTTGCCACGACAGCCGTCGCTCTTGCACTCGCTCCTCTCGCACTCGTTGCCTCCGCGGCAGTTGTGGCTGCAGTTGCTGACGTCTCCGGGGTCGGCGTTTTTCCCGTCGTCTCCGCCGTCGCTGCGGCAGCTGTTCTTGTCCGTCTTGTTGCTGCTGCGGTTCTGGCCGACGGCCTGATGGCCAGCTTTGTGGCCGTCTTGGCTGGGCTTCCTCGGCGACCTCACTGGCCCCCTTCCGGGCAGAGACTGCTGGCTGTGTGGGGTTGCTTCTCCTCTCCCGAGCCTCGTCTTCCTCCTGACTCTCACTCCCACCACTGCCACCTGGAAATGGCAGGAAGCCAAGCGAGAAGGATCTGCAGGCAGCCCTCCGTCCACACCGTCAGGACCCCCCCCGCCAATCTAGGCTATGCACAGCCACTCTAGGGTGCACGACGGAGCTCTCGGCGGGGACCCGAAAGCACTGGATCCAGTGACATGGCAGCATGGCAGAAACCGAAATGCCCAGAGGTGTGGGGTTGCTTGGAAATGCACCCAAAAGACTGCTGGTCACATCGCTCTGGCCCCCAGCTCCCTGGCCCCCTCTGTGGGCCGTCTGCTGCACAGGCATGGGTGTGACACCAGCATGGGCTCCCCGACAAAAGTCCCTTGTGCCTCGTCACCATCCAGTGGGAATCCGTGAACCGGCCGTGCCGAGGCACAAGCACGTGCTGCAGCCTGACCTCAGTCAGGCTCACACCTCAAATCAGTGAGACACGCTGTGTCCGCACATAAGAGGGAATTTCTGGAGAGCCGCCCGGAAGTGTTACCACAAGCAGTTTCTACAAGCCACCAGGGTTGCGGGGAGAACACGAGGTCTCCCGTGAGGAGTCCCTTCCCAGGGAGCAGCTGCCCGGCCCCTGCGGGCTCAGCGCCCTCCTCGCCTGTGAACCAGCTTGACCGTACACAGCCTGGCACTTCCTGAGCGAAGCAGGCAGGGCCTGGGCACGTCCCCTAGAACCTGGTGGACGCTTGAAGAGCCCCCCTCCCTGTGGGGCAGGACTGAGTTTGCAAAGTAACGAACAGTTTGGCAATGCCAAGGACACACCTAGCCCCGTCTGCAACAGCCTAAAGACGGGCCGTGTTGCACACCGTTGTTTCGGAGTGGAGAGGCCGACTCACAGCCCCGCACAAACGTGGCGACTGGCCAGTCCCCTAACCTCTGGGGACCTGAGTGTCTCCATCTGCAAAAGGGGACAGAGCCTTCTCGGGGACGCTGAGAACCGGAGAGGGTGATGCCGCACGGCACCCACCGGCTGTCTCGCCCTCGGAGCATCACGGCTGGGTTAGCACAAGTTCTAAGAGGCTCTCTCCACCCCCGAGTCCAATGTCAGCATCTGTGCTCCCCACGGCACCCCATTTTCAGTTTCGCAATGGGAAGCGGAAATCTGATGTATCAAATGTTGCCTTCTGGTCACTCTTCCAGGAATATATTGATTTAAGGAAGGGACAGCTACATGGAAATAATTTCCTTTTACAAAACTCTTCCTAACGACCGGGAGCGGGCACTTCCAGACAGTAAGCCGCTCGCCGCCCTCCGGTCCCCTTTCTGCACCACGGCGGGCCTGGGGCCGTGTCAAAGCATCCTCGCCAGGGGCCTGAGGTCTAGCTCCTGGTTGAGGAGGTCAGAGCACCCCCGAGCCCCTCACCTGAGAGGGTGGGGGGCCCTGGGCCCCCATCCGCAACACACCGCAGCTCCAGCACAAAGGTCTTAGTCGCCGGCCCCAGCGCCATGCCGGCGGTCAAGCCAAGGTCCCGGGGAGCCGGCTGCGCTGAGAGGAAGGAAGGAAGGAAGGAAGGAAGCTGTTCGGATGGGCAGCGGTGCTGTGAGCGGCAGCCCCCGGGCCAAGGTACGGGCGGCCAGAGAACCCTCAACGCTGCCTCGAGCCACCCCCCCCACCCAACAAGCAGCGCCGCCCCTTTTGGAAAGCAGGCTGGCGCGGTCCACGGCTGGGAAAGGAAGGAGCGCGAGCAGCCGGGGGCGGGGGGGGGGGGGGGACTCGGCTCCCGGGCCCATTCCCTGACACAGGGGCGGCCCGTCCTGACGCAGCCAGTGCCCGGGGGCAGCCCGCAGCTGCTCCTCACCCAGAGGACTGTGGGAAACCAGACCCCGCACGAGGACGGGAGCTGAGGTCCCAGAGGGCCATCTGCAAGGTCTGCAGAAGAGAAACTTGTCCATCCTGTGTCCCCCCGCCCACTCAAAGCGCTGACCAGTCCGTGCCCGCTCTGGTCCCCTGCCTCCCACGGCTGGGGGTTCGCCCAGCCTTCCCAGGCCGCCGGCCAGCCAGGGGTTCCAGGCCCCATGTGTCCTGGTGCCAGCTCAGCTCCGTGGGAAAGCAGGCTTCCAAAGCACTACAACCCATGGGACTGGCCAGCAGCCGGCCTGGCCCTGGGCCCAGGGCCTCTGAGGCGTGGCAGGACCCTCACCTCTCCGTGTCCACCCTGGGGCCTGCAGAGCTGTCCCCACCTCCAGTCCTCCCTCCCCTCCTACCAGGGTGACTCCAGGGCCCTCAGGCCGTTTGGAACCCAGTCGGAAACCTCTTAGGAGAAGCACCCTGGCCTCACCCAGCTCTCCCACCCACCCACTGGGTCTCACCTGGTACAGCATTTCCTGCTTCTCACCGCAGCCCCTGCACCAGGGCAGGTGTGAGCGGCAGGGGCTGGAAGGGGAAGGCCAGAGCCCTCAGCCAGCTCCTTCCTGTGGCACCTCCATCCAGAAAGAGCTGGGGCGGCGCTGGACCCCACCCCGGGCACCTTTCCGGGCACTCCGGAGGGCGGGGCAGCTGTCAGGGCTGTTGAGGTCGCCCTGGGCCAGAAGAAGGGACAGAGCTGAGTTCAAGAGCAGAAGTTGGTGTCGGCTCCCTGGGGTGGAGAGGGAGCCCCATCCAGCGCTGGGCTCAGCGCTGGGGGGCGGCGACCCTGGTGCGCGCCATGGGCTCCAGAGCGGACCAGGTGGCCTGACCCAGGTTGAGCTTGGCAGGGGCCAGGAGACTCCTGTCTCGGCTCAGGAGGCTCAGCTCAGGGCAGTCTGGGTCCGGCTGGACTCCGCCAGCGGCCACAGGTGTCCAGATCCCGTGGGCCTCGGGCGGGGGGCGGGCGACGTGGCCGCGCGGGGGTCCCCGTTCACTCGCCCGCCCGCCCGAGTGTGCGTCCAGCTGGTCTGCGTCCGTGCGGGCAGCGGCCCGGCCGGGGTGGGGGCAGCGGGGGCCGGCACAGGAAGTACCCCCAGCATCCGCATCCTGTCCCCCGCCCGCCGCCCACGGGGGCGCGCCACGGCCCCCGCCGCCGCCGCCGCCACCGCCGCCGCCGCTCTAGGCAGCCGCGAGCTCGGTGGGCTTAACCCTTCCCAGCCGGCCGCTCCCCCCGTGGCGTGGGACGCGAGGCGGGGACCCTGCGCAGCGGAGAGAGCAGCGCGCTCTGACGCATCCCCAGGCGCGCGCGTCTGCGCGCAGGGCTTGGCGACCCGACAGTCGCCGCATGGGTCTCCGCGGAGGCGCTCAGCCTCAGGGGGCCCCTGGCCCTCGCACAAGTTGCGGTCCAATAGGTGACACGGAGTTAATGAGGAGGCCGCGTCCCAGGCCCCGCGGGCTCGGAAGGGGCTTTCCCCTCCACGCCACGGACGCTCTTCCGCCGGGCAGTGGGCTGAGGCACTCTGGTTGCCTGGAGAGCTAAACTCATCCCCCTCCGGACCCCTGCTCGCTTCCAGGGCGCACAGGACCCGGCGGCCAGGCCCCCTCCGCGGCCCCTCCCTCTGCCCTCCCCCGGCCCAGCCTCCCAGAGGGCGCCGAGCCGCTTCCTGCCTGCGTCCCGCTCGCCTCCTCTGGAGGCACTGCCTGGCCGTCTCTCATCTCGCCTGTTCGCCGTAAGGCCCGCAGGCGGACCGCACTGAAATCGGGACGGTCAGGTTCCCTGAGAAAACCCAGAGATGCGGCGATGGAGAGCCAGCCGTTCCTGGGGTGGAGTGTGAGGCTGCCCCACTGGGCTGTGGGGGACGGTAACCCTCCCGTGGCCACAGGCCCCTCTCCTCCCCACACAGAGTGGCCTCCCTGTTCCACCTTTTGAGTCCCCCTGGCCCCCCAGGCACTGGGGCTCCGGCCTTGCCCTCCGGTCCTGGCCGAGGAGCTTGCCCACGGCGCGGGGACTTCCCAGCCGCGCAGAAGCTGGAGGCGGAGGGCACACCTGCCTCGGGAGGCAGCACCAAGAAGGTGCAGAAACATCTGGGGCGGGGGTCTCTTCCGGCCGGGTAACCCGAGGCTTGGAGACCGAGGTGCCAGCGGGGAGGTCAAGGATAGGTGAGCACCTCCCCGCTGAACGGGGCAGGCGTGCACCTTCTCCGCCCCGGGTGGGCCGGGGGCAGAGCTCTCCTGCCTCATGGGAGAGCGCAGCCCCGCGGGATCCCGGGAACCCGCCCCTCCCGGAGTCTGGACCCTCTCCCTCGCCTCGCTTCCTCCGGTCTGCGTCCGCTCATTCTCGCCACGCCCCTGACCTGGAAACGTGCAAGCCCCCCCCGCCCCTTCTGCCCTCTGTGCCAAACTTCCTGGAAAGACGCGCCGTCGTGGTTCAGTCCGTATCTCCATCCGTCTCCCCTCCTTCCCCCTCTCCATCCTGGCCCCTGCCCCTCGCTCCGCCAGACGGCCCCCTTTGATGTCACCACTGACCTCCAGGTCACTGAACGCCTCATCTCACCGCACCTCTGGGCAGCGCTGGGCACTCCTCTAGCGCCGCCGAGTGCCAGAGCGCGCCTGGCTCCCCGCCCTCCTGGTCAGCGCCCTTCCCGGCTCCTGCGCGGGCTCCGCCTCCTCCGCCGGCCTGGTTGCTCATCTTTCCAGGGTGCAGATGCGCGAGGTGTCTCCCCTCACCCACGGTTCCCCCCGGCCCCCACGAGGATCTGCCTCCTGCCTGCACCCGGACACCCAACTCCAACTACAGTTGCCCTTGCTCCTCTTCTTGGTCCCCCTTTTTTTTTTTGAGGGGTGGCACGGACACGAATCAGTCCCATAGCTCTAGGCAGCATTGGCAGCAACAAAAATACCCCCTCACTTCTGAGCCCACTCCTGTTTCTTCTGAGAAGCCTGGCCACCTGTCTGAACTGGGTGCTCATGATGCTGTCACCTGACTTTCCTTCGTGGGAAGTGTCTGTGGGCCACCCACTCTGAAAGATGCGCCTTTCCCCGTGGAGCAAGTATTTACCTCGTTGTAAAAAAGCTCCCCCCAGCTCCCATTGCAAAGATACATCTTAATTTATTTAACCAGGTACCGACTGATGAAGCTGTTTCTTGCGTTTCCCTACGGCTAACGTGCTTGCACCTGAAACCTAATTTATCTGCGAGAGTTCCTCTGCGAGAGGCGTCCCCAGCCGTGGACGGGCCGGTCCAACCATACTGTGTGTGCAAAGCAGGTTTCCAGCTGCGAGCACACGAGACCCAGAGCTCTTCCTTCGAGCCAATGGAGCCACCGTAACAGTCATACCCTGCGTGCTCTTCTCCATCCGAGCACCCGGGAACCCGCCTTCACCCTCCCCTGTGTGTGTGTGTGTGTGTGTGTCTGCATAATTTTGATAGCTACTGCTCTGGCAAACGTGTGCCATCTTAAATCCTCACCAGCCAAGAATAACAGTGCCCGTGTCCCCACCACTCCGCCAGATCAAGGAGACTCTTAGTCCGAAGTCTCAGAAACACCCAGTGCAAGCGGACCAGAGAGGAAAACACTACTCTCTCATTTAACAGGAAGCGCAGTGATGGGGGGCGCAGGGTTGGGTGAGGGCCGGCTTCCCAGGAGCACGGGGAGGTGCTCGGTGCTTCAGAGGAGAGGCGCCATCTCCTCCTCGGCCACGTCCTCCGGAACGTGTCCCTGGGCCTGGTCCCTTCGGGGCGACAGGAGGACTCCCTGGAGAGCGTCTTCTCAGACCGGCCCCCATGCTGGCCAGGGTCACACCCCGAGCCCATCACAGGCCCCGATTCTCACCAGAGGTGCGGGAGGACCCATCACAATCCCCCCCAAGGGAGGGGCCCGGGCTCCACGAGCAGGTGCCTGGGGAGCAGTTGCCCCAAACGAGGTCCACCATCGAGAAGGAGACGGCTGGCCCGCCGGAGGTGGCCAACGGTTCTTCCGGAAACGTGCGACAACGGTTTCTCCAGCGACGGCCAGTGCGATGGATGGGCAAGATGGCCTCGCGGCTTCAGGGGCGGTTTTGAAAACTCTCGGCGACGTCAACCATCGGTTCCTTCGTGCCATGGGTAAGGCAGGGGTGTCGGGGAAACAGGGCGCTCTGCAGCAGCCGGGAGGGTCCTTTTCGGGGCAGTTCTGTTAGTGGTTCGGACGCCGAGGTCACTGCATCCGTTTCCGTCCGCTCCGGGCCTCTGTCGGACGTCACGCTGCTCCACGTTCGCGCGGTCCCCGAGTCGGGGCTGCAGAGCCAGGCGCACTGGGCTGCCTTGCTTCCCTCCCAGCGCACCGCCCAGCTCCCCGCCCCCCAGGCCACCATCTTACTAGTTTTTCCTTTATTCTTCCTTCATTTCTATGCATATTTCCCCCACCCCCTCTTTTTTTTTAGATTTTACTTATTTATTTCCAAAGAGGGAAGGGAGGGAGAAAGAGAGAGGGAGAGAGAAACATCAATGTGTGGTTGCTGGGGGTCATGGCCTGCAACCCAGGCATGTGCCCTGACTGGGAATCGAACCTGCGACACTTTGGTTTGCAGCCCGCGCTCAATCCACTGAGCTACGCCAGCCAGGGCTTCTCTCTATCTCTTTTTTAATGAAAAAGGTATCACCCCATAAACACTGCTGGGCCTTGCTTTTTTCTTTTTACTTAATACATCTTAGCGACCACTCCATAGCTTAATACAAATCTTTTTTTTTCTTTCTTAAACGGGACTTTCCCACCCTCCCATGTGGCCAAAACCCCTGCCGATGGGCTCGTGGGAAGCGTTGGGTCTCTCGCTCCCACACACAAGCTGCCATGACAAGCCTCCGCCGCTGGCCCTGGAAGTGTGTTCCCGGGGCGGGGCAGGGCCGGTGCTGGGGTCACTCTGCGAGGAGCCCCAAGTTTCTGTCCAAAGGGGCGGGACCGTGGTGCACCTCCGCCAGCTCCGCTGAGTTAGGCAGGCGACTCTACTGCTGATTCCTAGAAGCTCCATCCAGCTCATTTCCAAGTCTGCCGGGTAGGGCATGCTTTCCTTTTCCCTGGGGATACACTGTCCCCCTTGTCTCCTATTCCTTCCCACAAAGTAAGCGCGAGTGTCTCAGCCCGAACGGACAATCCTGGAACGTTCTGGGCCCGTTCCCGCCATGGGCGGCTTCTGCTGGTTCCCGCTCGGGGCACCTGGTGAGTTCTTCACTGGACGCGGGTCATGGTCCCTGAAGGACCGCTCGTGGGCTCCTTGAGGCCCATGACAAACGCCTTTCCTCAAGGACATGCATCGGCCCCGCCAGGCACCAGGGAGGGCCGCATGGGAGGTCTAGGGACCCCCAGGAACTGAGCTCACAGCGGGAGGTGCCCTCAGGTCACCTGGGCTAAGGACCAGACTGTCACTACTTCTCGGGGACAAGTCTTTCCTTCTGTTTCCCCGAGCTCTGTGCAGGGCTGGGGAGCCTGCTCCCGTCCTGTTTTCCCTGAGGGTACAGCCCTCGGGGGGGCTCCAGCAAAATGGGGAGCTGGTGTCTGAGTAGACCGCCCCCTCTTGGGCCCCCAGGTCCCTGAGGCTGTCAGGGCAAAAGTGCCTCCGGGAGCCTCGCTGCCTCCAGGTGGCTGCACCCCCAGCACCTGACCTGGGAGCGCCTCATAACCTGTCGGCACAGAAGGTCTAAAATGCACTTAAAAATAACTTAATTAGCCAAGTGGCACGTGAGTGCACCACCCTTATTTAAAAAAGTAAAACACGGACAGTACTGGTTCGTATCTGTGGCAGGAGGGGCCTTCCCCAGCTTACGGCAGACGGGCAATTCAAGGCTTTGTAGTCTTTCCTTATGACTCAGAATGGATTGGGTTTTTAGTTAAAAAACTTAAAACCAAAACGGAGGCTTTCAAACCATACGGGTCAGGCAAGGTCTCCTGTGGCCGTCCCATCCCCAGCACTGTCCCCAGAGGCGCCCACTGTGTTCGGGGTGGCGTGCACCATTTCCCACATGTGTATACCACCACCCCCCCATGCATCTGCGGGAGCGTTGTGGCAGC